GAAAAAATTTTCCTGTGATATTTTCTCGAAAACTTACTAAGTAAATTGATATCTGGCTCTTAAGTAAAGTTATCCAGTCCCTTTGAAACTACTTAAAGAAGGTGCAAATTTTGTTAAAAGACTCCACTACAACAGTTAGTAGCAATAAACACCCAAAACAACAACAAAACAGTTTTTAAATTCTTCTGCGAAAGCGGTCTTAAGGACCCTCAACTTTCACATAATCCAAAAGATTTTACAAATAGTACTCTAAGCAAAAACAGTAAGCAACTACAAGTTTCATATCATATTAAGCCCCAAGACTCCGGCAAAAACATGGCCTCGGAAAGCTCTTCCTCCTACTGAAATATTTTTTTCCAGAACACCAAGACCGCTCTACCTGAAGACACCCCTACTATTAGCTCACCACTAGATCCTAGTGTAGAACACACTAAAAAATTTTTAAACATTACTATGAAAGATTGGTCTAAACTCACATTCTCTGTTAGCTTCTTTGTTCCTGAATATGCTGACTTTTTCGTTTTCTATGTTGATATTACCAAATCTGAAAAGATCCCCAACTTGACCGACTACCCTCCACAATGGTTATGCAGACATGAAAATCTTACCCAATCAGTTTTGTTTGACCTTATATCACAAAAAAGCAATGTTGTTAATATTAGTGCCAAACACCCAAAACCTACTCAGAATAGTGATCTTTTAACAATTACAAACCTATACAAAGCCAGTATGAAACCTTATTCAAAAGCTAAAGGTGCAGAAAACTTAGCCTCAATCCTGTACAATGTAATTACAAACCTTGATTCAGATAATGAGTCCAATAGAAGCTACAATGAGCAGATTGCACATGCAGTCACTAACACCAATTCCAGCTCTTTACAAGACATGGACAAAGATTACACAAACACCAGTACAAGTAACAATGCTACAAACCCTGTGCTATCCACAAACAAACCCCTAACACCAATACAGTACCCAGGCCTAGTATACCTACCAATCAGATTACACAGCCCATATTCTTGGCACCTAGTTCTAACTACATCTCAGTAGTCTCCAGCACTAGAGCGCAAGAGACCAGGAGATTTATCTAACATATCTCAACTTGCTATAACTCCACACAAAGCTACTAAAGCTTTATTTAACAATACTTCTAAATCTACTAGTATACAAGCTAGTACTTCAACAACTACTACAAGACCTACATATAGCCAAGTTACCCAAACAAACCTTAATTTGCTTAAAACAGAGGCTCCGGAAGATGAAATGGTATGGGCCGATAAAATATACCTCAAAACCATCACACCTATCAATACACCCTTCGATACCGACTGTTGGACAGTGGAAAAAATCGCTAAAGCACTTGAAACTCCTGAAGGCATCTATGAACTTACTAGTCACAAGCTTGTTACTATGCCAACACAACATGAGCTCCCTAAAGCAATTGCGCTTAAGTTTACTCACCAGGATACCAGATTCTTCACTACTTTCACACGTAACCCCAAGACCACCCCTGCACACCAAAAAGAATACAATGAGATTTTTAACAGGGCCTTAGCAGCATATAAACACGATCATGAGATTACACTTACTAATACTGCTACCTGTGATACTATTCATGCAATGCTTAGAAAGTGGCTTATAGCCCAATACCTTTCAAACCTTAACTTCAATAGAACTATACAGAGGCATATGTAGGGTATCTGGCATAGTGGCACAGGCATGCCAATAATGGCATGCCATAGTGGCATGCCAGTGGCATGCCTCAAGGCAGTTTGGCATGCCACCTCATAGGACGACATTTGTATGATTGGCTAATTTTGTCGATCAAAACGTGATCACCGACCAATCAAAATTAAATTTTGTACGTAAACTTTTATTATTATCATCAAAGCTTTACATTTAATTTTATGTTTAAAACATTAATTCTATTTTATTTTTAGTCGTCACAAACTCCACTAGAGATGCGCTATAGCCCTTAGTTTATATAATTAATAAGCACAATACGGTACAACTCGTATATACTGTATTAATCTGCTACTAAAGTATCCCAACCACGATTACAACTGCTTACTCTATGATTTAACTCTATAATATTTAATCAATACGCAAGATATATAGTAAGTATTAAGTTAATTATTATTAAAGTAAAACACAGACAAGATTTCTATGTTATGTTCTTCAAGATTAAACTTATATGAAAACGTCTCAAACATAGGGTATCTGGCAAAGTGGCATGGTGGCATGCCACCTCATAATTTGTAGGGCTGTTAAAAAGCTTGTCAAACCCGGTCCTTAAGTTGATTTCACACGGGCTTTTCAGGACCTGTCTCAGACAAAGTCCCAAATGCAGGAGGTACCCAGTTCCTGTATATGTATAGTGGTACATATGATAATTTTGCAATCAATATTCATGTGAATTGTACTTTAAGAATTGCTTAATTAAGAATAAGTACAAGTATACATAGTATAACGATAATCTAAAAATAATAACTATTCACCAGTTTCAATTTTACACATCTAACTTTTATTATTATCATAATTACCCGGATATCAAATCAGGGTTCTATAAATTAGCAGTACATTATGCTTATCTGACATCTTATGATGTTATTCACCAAATTCTAAAAATGTAAGCACTTGAATTTGCATTGTAGCCTGGTTTTTCCGGGCTCCAAACTAGAATAATACATAGGCATGTGTGTGCCTTTAGCATATGATATTTAATAAATTGCATAAGAAGCAATTATACGAATTATTTCAATAAATTGATAATAAAAACATTATTCAGAACAACCAGAATAAGGGGTTTTAGAGTTAACCAATTTCGAAAATAAGTGAGAGGTTAAAGAGTCCTATTTTCTGCTTTAACGATAAATAATTATGTAAATAAATACATACTGTATTTTTAAAAAAGATTTATTTATACGTTACTTATTTTTATCACATTTTATTTAAATTGATATGATTAGAATTGCTTTCCCAACTCTTGCAATATATATTATTTAAAATTCTCATGAACAGATCTATATAACAAAGAAAAGTAATATAAATTTTATTTACGTGAAAAATCAAATACTCTTTATAGAAAAATTAAAAACAATATCGAAAAATTTTCAGGTACTCCATTCAATACAGGTGTAATCTGAAAGTAATCTTAATCTATACTCTAATCGAAATATTGGGCGTTTTCCAAAATCTTTTCTGTAGAAACTAAAATTAAATTTTATCAAAATCCTATATATAAAGTAAAAAAAAAAAAAAAAAAAAATTATTGTGCAAATTGACTCAATTCCATTTAAAAAAAAACATATCTCAAGCTTTAATTAGTGCTTATAGTAATAAAAACTAAATTCAACTTAACATAATGCAGTCTCAACCACCGCCCGATTTTGTTCTTCCTAATATGGCAAACCATGATCATCGTTGGTCTGGTTTTTGGCGTTCCGTAAATAAAATTTCAGGCAAAAGATATACTGCTAAATGTTCCTATTGTAAATTCGAGCTACCTGGCAGACCTGACAAATTACATGCTCATGTTCTTACATGCGGTAACTGGCCCATTTCTGAAAAAACTAATTATATTAAGAAAGCTACTAGTTCTTTGTCTAAATCTCGAAAGAAGGCTTTAGTTAGTTCGGATCAAGATCATTCTAAGTATGTTATTTAAATAATTTAATAATGATTAGAAATTTTTATTAACTTAGCTTTTATAGTTCAAGTGATGTAGTCGAAAACTCATTCTTATCTGCATTAAAGCGCCAAGAAAATTTGACAAGTTGGATTGTTAAGCTGCTTTCATCAGAGAAACAAGCTAAAGTTGACAAAAAATTGCTTAATGCTATTATTTATAGCAATCTGTCTTTTAAACTTGTCAAAAACCCATATTTTTTTGAATTTCTTAATAAACTTGCCCCAAACTATTGTCCACCTTCTGCAGAAATGTTGAATACTAAACTTCTTTATAATTCATATTCTGCTTACCTAGCTAAAAAACTCGAAATGATGTCATCTCTTACTGATCTTACTATTACCTTAGATGGATAGCAAGATGTATCCCGAAACTCTATTTATGCCTTTATGGCCTTAAAAGAAAAGAAAGAGCATATTTTAGATATCGTCGACTTATCAGCAAATTGTCATACTGCAATTTTTCTTTGGGAGAAACTCGAAAAAGTTCTTCAATTAAATTCAGTCTCTACTAATTCTGTTATTGTATGTGTAACTGACAATCCTTCAGTCATGGTTAAAATGAGAACGAATCTTAAAGAAGATTATCCGAATATAATTTCTATTCGTTGTTGCCTTCATTCTTTTAACCTACTTGCAAAGAATATTTTTTCTTTTCAGCCATTACTTGCAGTTATTAAAAATAATCAAAAGCTTGTCAATTTTTTCACGTCTTCGCATATCTGGCTTCGAACATTGCAAGAATAGCAAAAGAAAGAAGATGTACGTTATTCACTTACAACATTTTGTAAAACATGATGGTACTCTCTCGCAAAAGTTTGTTTGGGCGTAAAATCATTCGAAAGAGGATTTCAACAATATATCGATCTTAGTAGAACTAGTAACTACCCTATGATTAAAACAGAAATTCAAACCATAGTTAATAGTCGTTATCATTTTGCTAACAATGATACATTAGTTACTGGGCTTATTCCAATCGTAGATGCCATTGGTCGTCTGAAATCGAGAAATACCACATTAGCTGATATTTTTAAAGAGTTAATTAATATTCATTATACTATTATCAAAGCGAATATTCCAATTAATGGATTCAAAGAACATGCATTAGCATCTATTGACAAACGAGCTCGTGAATTTTCAGATAATATCTATTTTGTTTCTCTTTTTTTATTGCCATACTATAAACAGATTGCAATGTCAAAAAAAATGACCAGTGATATAATTATAAGAGCCTCTTTAGAATTAGCAAAAATTTGGGGCTTCGATAAAAAAGAAACTATTCTTTTATATAAAGAACTTATAAATTATAAAAATGGAGATCCTCCTTTTGGTATTTACAAAAATATTAAAGATACCAATCCTAGAACTTTCTGGGCACAGTTTACTGGAGGCTCTCCACTTCTTCGACGATTCGCTATAAAGATCTTTTCAATCGTCCCCTATTCAGCAGCTGTTGAACGCTTATTTTCTAGCTTGGAGCTTGTAAAAACAAAATCACGAAACAGAATGTCTATTACCTTGATGGGAATGCTTGGGATGCTTCGTTACAATCTTCAACAAAAACTACCTGAAACATTAAAAGAAAAACCTAAAGAACAAACTTTATCCACTTTATCTACAAATTTTACGAATGTTGAAAATTCTGATAACAATCTTCTTTTTGAGGAAGAAGGGCTTGAAGAAAAGCCATTGGAATTTGATGTTGAAGCGGTAACTATTGATATGAACGATGAATTAATAATAGAAGAGTTCTTTAATATGGATGCTTTCGAACGAAATCAAAATATTAGTGATGAAAATTCAGATACTTATCTTCAAAATGCCGTGATCAGTACTGAAGATTAGTTGATTGATGAAATTTTTTTTTAATCTGAAGTTTAAAAGTTGTAATCTGCATATGGTTATTATAAGTTTTTTAAATCAATAAAGTATTTTAGTAACTTCTTACATAGTTGAACTCTTGAGACGTACTTTTATTATTTTATTATAGCCATTAAATCTGCAAGTTATTTAAATTAAATAAATTCGTGTTTAATACAGTAATATAGTTATATAATCGTTGATCTACCCATTATTTAACAGTTAATACGGTTAGAAAAAGCGACTGGCTAAAAAAGTTGTAAATATATTTGTAAGAAAACTAGTGATTTACGGGTGCTTAATTTTTTTTTTTTTTGCGTTACTAATAATGCGTGGCATGCCAATTTTTTTGGGCATACCAACTAATGTAGTACAAAATTATGTGTAACATGTGGCATGCTATTTGCGTTATTGGCATGCCACTGGCATGCCAATTTTTTTTGCCGTGCCAGACTCTCTAGGCATATGCAGTGCTATTCGGTATGCCAGAGGATTTCTAAAGATCAAGAACACTAGTGAGCAAACCCCCAGAGAAATTAGAGCTCAAATCAATAG